CAGCCTTGCGGGGTTTCGGCAGCAGCCTCCCCCAGCATCTCCCAACACCTGCAAGCGCCTCTGCCCACTGCCTGCCCCACGGCAAACCCCCCCCACGGGGGTCTGGGGTGACCCCAGCTCGTCTGCAGGAGCAGAGCCTGCCCAGGCGCTCCCCAGCACCAAACACAAGGTTCACTTTGCCCGATGTCCTTGGGGGGCTTAGCACAGGTAAAGCTCTCAGAGCAGCTCGTTTTGCTGATGTTGCTAATCTCACTGTCATCTGCTTGTCATCTCCAACAGCTCTGTCCAGGGGCAGCTAAGCTGGCACAGGGGTTCCTGCAGCACAGGGGTCTTAGGGCCACCCCAACGGCTCCTCGGGACATTTAGGGGGGGTCCCTGTGCAGATGTGCCGCTGCCGGGGTGCCAGGGGCACTGGTGCTGCAGAGCCCGGGCTGTTTTATTAACCCCCCACCCCTGCCGCCAGCTGCCTCCCTGAACGCAGCGCCTGGGGGTCCCGTGTCGGGGGCACCGTCCAGCCGAGCCAGCCCTGGACTCCTCCCCGTGGGACACAGCCCCTGTCCTGCACTGGTCCCCTCCCCATGGTCTCCTCTGCCCCTTCGCTGCCATCCAGCCTCTTCCACACCCAGCGTTCGCTCTTGCTGCCCTCCCACGGCCGCAGCCCTGGCTCCTCACCAGCCCCGCTCCATCCCAGCACCTCTCCCTCCCACGGCAGCCCCGGGGGGAGCCCCTCTCTGCCAGGAAATCGCCGCTCTCCTCATCGAGTCCCTGCGTGGGCTTCTGAAGAATTTTAGCTCCCAAAGAAGCTCATTTCAGCGAGGGTTTGGTGGCACTTCTGGGACCAGCAGCAGCGTTTGCTGCAGCTTCGCCCCACCCGGCAGGGCAGGAGGATGAGCCCCCCCGCAGGCGAGGGAGGGGAGAGCAAGAGGCACTCACGGGGATGATGCCAGGGCCATCCTTTTCCGTTTGCTTGGAGATCTCCTTTTCAAAGCCTAAAGACAAGGAAATACAACCTTTTAGCCACCTGGAAACATGACCCTGGTGGCACACGCGGATTTGCTGGATGCAGAGGGGTACCCCCACATCTGCATCCCCTGAGCTTCCCCTCCCAAAAGGCTTCTTTGCCCCCAGCTCCTGCCCTTGCAGGCAGGACACATCCTGCATCCCTGCCCCAGCGCAGGACACATCCTGCATCCCTGCCAACACTCCCCTCTGGTGGCAGCTCAGCCCCGTGCCGGTGTCCCTGCAGCTGCCACCACCCCCAGCCATTCCCTGGACGAGGGATGAAGGATGCCCGGGACATTCTGCGCTTTGAGCAGAAGCCTCAGCCCACGCCAGCCAGGCCCATCACCCCCAAAGGAGATAATTTGTGAGCCCCACTCCAGCATTGCGGACGTGACGGGCTATTCATGTGTTAACTGAGCAGGAAAAACAGTATTGCTAGAGCCCAGCTGGGAAAGGAAAGAGGCAACATCATGCTTGTGACTGCTGATTTCCTGAAGTTCCCCCCCTTTATCCTGCGCCCTGGCCAGCGGCTGCTTGTCACAGCTCACAGCATCGTCCCCGCAGCCAGCCCCGAGCCCGTGCACCCTGCCTAGCCCTCGGAGACCCGCAGCCATCCATAAAACCTCCCAGCCTCTCTGCTGACTATCAGAGTCTCCCTCCCTTTGGAGACAAGCGCTGTTTTCCTCTCCCGAGAGCCTGCAGCCCTGCACAACATTCAGCAGAGATGATTAATGAGGACCCGCACCGGGGAGAGCTGCCAGCCTCCCGCGTGGTGATCTCTCCTGCGTGCACCTATAGCTCTGCTATTGATTAAATGCCATGTTGCCTGCATTAATTATTTTTTAATGGGTTGGTCCAAGAGGCTAATTACATCGCAGACGGACAGCAAAATGCCACCAGGAGCATCAGCAACACGGAGATCTCCATCAGCCACCACCCCTGTGCTGGGACACTGAGGGCAGCAGCCCTGCTCCTGCGCGGGAGCATCCCTGGGGGGTCATGGGGAGAGCACTCGATGCCGAGAGAGTCTGAAGACAGCCTGTGCCGTGATTTTTTCATGATGGAAACAGTGCATATAAGCAACCGGAGGTTTTGTTATAATTGGCGGCAGCCTCCAGCCCTGTCAGGGTAAATAAGGCACATCGCCTCCACAGCACCACACCTTTGCCAGAGGTGCAGAGCTCCTGGTGCCCACACGGCGTGTCCCCAGGGCTGGTGGCAGCGGGATGCTCCTCACCTGACTCCACACCGAGCTTCGCCGCCGGCACGGGAACAGTTGAACACTCGAAGTACTCCAGGTCATCCTCGGGCTCGCCCTTCTTCTCCAGCCCGGCCGGCTTCTGCATAGAGGTGGTGGAGGCCAGCTTCTCCTCATCGGTGGCGTGTCCATCCTGATTGGCAATATCGGGGATTTCGGAGATCAACACTCCTTCATCCTGTGGGATGAAGGCATGCAGTTAAGCAGGATGGAGCTAATCCGTGGGGATCAGGCAGCCAGGCTGCCCGGACCGTCCATGGAAAGCACGGGAGGCTTAGCATCCCCCCACAAGCTGCCCCCCAGCAGCTCCTCGGCAGGGTTCGGCAGAAGGAAACACATGGTGCTGGGGACAGGAGCGATTAACAAGCAAAATTCATTAACCCAGCCTGCCCATACACAGTCCCTAATGAGCCACATGGAAAACAGAGCACTTGCTGGCCAGGAGCCCCCGAAGGACAGGCTCACCTAGGGGTCAGCACCCAGCACCCTCCTCTCCCTCCCCTCCCTCCAAAACTGCCCACGGGGACGATGCTCCCTACCTGCGTGCAGCTGTCCAGGACCAGGGAGTGCGGCTCGTACTGCTTCACCTTGCAGCCGCTCCCGTGGGGGAGAGAAGCGGC